CACACACAAACACACACACACAAACACACACACAAACACACACAAACACACACACAAACACACACATACATACACACACACACGCACACCGGGGTCGTCATAATATGTTTTTGCATATTTTGCAAAAACACATAATAGCCGCCGGCATGCTGGGCCGACCCAGCGATGGAGTGAGGTGTAGGCGAAAAGTATGAGATCGTAGGCGATGGAAACCTGCCAGCTGCACAGATGAATGTCCGGGTTGTGAGTTACAGGCTATTTGAGACATTTTAAGCAAAAAGCAATGCGTAACGACAGTGAACGAGTTTGTGAGTCGTTACTGCAAATGCATTTTAGCTGGATCAGAACATAAATTCGGAAGCCTCCCAAACAAAGATAGGAAACTGTTTCCGAATCTTTTGCCTTGCACATCCTTACTAATCAAATACTTAACCTGAGCCCTAAATTCCTTCATCGTACCCATTGGATGACTTGGGGCCAACGTCCGGTAAAAAGGATTTCTGGAAAAGCTCTATAGAAGTCACAAAACTCAAAATTGCTGGTTCCTGCAATCTAAAGGCCGAATTGAGTAGGCAGTTAAGCGCGTTCATGCAGTACTTTGCCATAAAGTACTTATAAAAAATTTTGCGTATGCAAAAAAGCAAGGAAACTTTTAACAATTATTTAATTTGGATAGTACCATTAATATTTGTTTTTTTGAACTCAGTTCCCTCACTGATAGCAAACGCTGTAATAAAGCGGATCGATCAGCAGAAAAACTAACCAGGACAAAAATGATGAAATTACAGTGGAATGCAAATGCGCGATGTCTATTCCAAAACCTTTTAACTCCTCTATCATTAGAATTTGGTAGAATCTGGTAGTTGTGAGTTTAGCAGTTTTAAGTGCTATAATTTAGCTCTACATGCATATTCAATGCATGGCAGGTAGGAGTCTGCCCTGATGATTTCCATTCCTATCCGTATCATGACACTATTTGTGTTTATGGCTGTTGGATGGAACACAGGCTGCCCTACGATTTGTTCATTGGTGCATTTAGTACCTAGGTCAAGCACCTTGGTCTTTCTGTTAACTGTCTGGAGACTTTGTGAAACTCTCACAGAAGTGCTGGTGATGTCAAAGGAAGTTTTTGGTTAGCTGCTGATAGATGGGCACTGGGAGAATTGTAAAGTATTGATAAAACCACTTCAGTGGTCGATGCGAAAAGATATCCTAGAAAGAAATCAGCTGGAAATGTACGAATGGCGCTGCCAAAGAACAGAGCTGACAGATACCGTATGACAATCGTTAGTGGGTGGGCAATGGTTTAACGAAGCGAGAATGGCGCAATCATTCATTCTATCGCGTTCAGAGGGATGAGGGAGAAGGCGGGACTCTCTCGATTTGACGATTTCTTGTGGCGCTGCTATTGAGAAATGCATCAATTTGAGTTTTCCCTGTCACCACATTCCTGCCATCCTCCCCTCCCCTTTTCTCCTATCTATCAAGTAGCTTAAAATTTATGCCAAGATACCTTTACACTCGGACATTAGCTGTGTGTAGTACGCCAGCTGCATGCATGCATCCCGATTCGATCCTGTGAGATTTTATGTTTCAAGTCGATAGTCCGACTCAGGGTGAACTACCAATCCCTCTGCGATCCGTTCATTTGTTTTACTGGCGAACTGGCCAGGAGTCAAATACGCCATCAGTTTTCTTCCAGGCAATTCTCAGAAGAGGAAGTCATCAACGTCCTTGCCAGTGATTGACCTAGACCACTTATAGAAAGTGAATACGGAGGGGATTTTAACTTGAAGCATCAATCTTGGCTGGTGCTTCAATTGGGCTATGGTGATCGCGCGTGAAAACGCCTAGTGACATAAAATGCTTCTTCCTAGAACTGCGTCCATAGTTTTAAAAGCTGATAAATTCCAACTTCGTGCTCTTGACTGTCTCCTTTCATCTAAAATCCCAGCCTCCTAGACACATTTCATTCATACAGCAACTTTAAAATTACACGGATATTATTGAGGTTAGGTGTAAGCAAAAGCAAGACTTACTGAGTGGAAAATTTAAGGGTCTTTTGTATGTTCTGCAAAAATATCACAAAATTTTGCTACAAAAATTCCAAAATGATCCTCAAAATTAATAAAAATTTTCTAATAAATGAAGGAAATTATCCATCTGCTCACTAATTTATTTTGTGTAACAGGCGCTCAAGCATTTACTATTTTTTCGTAACATTTTCTTAAAATCTTTGTTTTAGAAACTTGGCGATTGGTGACTTCGCAATCCCAAAGGAGTTTGAAAAGTGGCCATTAGTTGTCGGAGAGTGAGTACTACTGAGCTGGTTGTCGCCATGCAAGCCGTATTCTTGCTTGTTATCGTAATCGCAATCGCTTTCATTGTTCTCATAAAGTGACCTCGCCCAGTGGTTCTGGAAACCACGTAAGAAGCGAGCACAGTGTTCCATGGAAATGGACTCGCACAGTGATCTGAAGCCGATTGTACCACTCGCTGCAGCAGCTGCTGCCGGAAGCTTAATGCTGACGAACTGTGACCAGAGTCCTCTGGGTAAGCTGATGGAACAGTACAACAGGCTCGCATCCGAGAGTCGAATAGCGACAACGGCTGAGGAGAAGTTCTCAAAGAAGGACGTGAAACCAGCTGAAACGATTGGAGCCACCGCCGCAGGAGCAGCCGCTCTCGTGGATACGATGCCCTATTCGAACACTGTGTACTCACCGTATTCGTGGCCCGCTGCTACAGCTTCTCCCTGGTGGAGTGCAGAACCGACCGGGACCTGGCCACCGTTGCCGTATCCGACACCGGTCGCTACTGATACCACGGCTGCGTCATATACGCCATATTTGGGCTCCCAGTTCCAAGGGTTACTCTCCGCAGCTACCGTATCCGCGGCTACAGTATCCGCTGTCGGACAAGCAGCTACGAGATCAAATTCAGGTTCCAGTTCAACGAACGAGTACTTACTGAATCCACTGTCGAAAATCCCCGGTGGCAATGCTGTGTCGCATTCCGGTGGCGGCAAAATGCCCACTCGATCTAACTGCGAATGTCCGAATTGCCAGGAAGCGGAACGACTCGGTAATTGTTTTTATTAAATTACAACGGACTCTCTCCCTCTCTCTCTCTATTAGATGTGTCCGTGATTTTTTTTCCACATTCTCCCACAGGATAATTCCATGCAAATAGTTCGAAATCATATCCAAACCTTAGTGTAATCGTGGTCTGTGGTCAATATTCGAGCTGTTTTTTATGGGCAGTCAGCCATGAGAGCTGCGTAACAAATTTCTGCATCATTACTTAGTCAAGCAATTTCAGGCGGTTAGCTTGGAGCCAATAACTGATATATGATCTATGAAGTCTGGATTTACAATACAATACAAACAGGACTCTTCTGTTACACACATCGTCAGTTTTCTAGAAAGACGCATTCGCACACACATATTGCTAAGTAAAAGCATAGAAGATACAGTAAAAGAAAGTTAAAATTCGTAGGAGGGACGCCTTGAAGTACTACAGTATTATAACACTGTCAAGAACATCTGCCTGCTGGCGTGACCACGATGGTACCTCTATCTGACTGCTGCTCAAAAACAAACGGGTAAAGGTTTCGAAACTGATGCGCCAAAATAAATTTACCATCGAAGCGAGTCCAAAAAGTGAGGTGAGGTTGACTTTTACCCATAGAATCAAAATAGCAATACAAGTCAGTGAGATTCTATAGTGCCAAATTGGACAACACAATAAGTGCGCCTGCGTTAAAAGAATTCAACTTTCATTAACTCGCAGTTACTAAAGTACTAAGAGGGAAAATGAGGAAAGGAGGTAATAATGAGAGGAAAGCATGACGCAATGGGAAGTAGTATTGCCTGAACGCAAAATTTTGAGAGGTTGGCTATTTCACTTTCTGTACTTGTTTCTTTGATACATTGGTACTGAAAAACGTCAGAGAGACAAACCGGTCATCAGCTTGCTTCTAAGCGATCGTCGAAAAACTAAAGCCACTGATAATTTCCCTAGCGAACAAATGCTGCTAGGACTTGCTATCACAAAAAAGCTAAATATGAACGCCACCGCCACTGAACTGTGTGATTTTTGAATTTTGACTTTGACCAGCAAAAAAAAACAAAAATTGATTGCCTCCCCACCTTTTTAACTCTGTGTGTTAAATAAAATTTCTGAACTGTTGTGGCATTTGATACGGTAAAACGAGCAGCAGTTCGCGGAATCCATTTTGTTACTACCCTAGCCTTAACGCGAGACTTACTGTTCATCAATAAAAAGCCTTTATCTAAGACAGTGGTATGTGTTTGGAGCGCCTTTTAGTTCTCAAATGATCGACTAACCGGTGTTTCCGTTGTGCTTACGCTTGTTATTCACCCGCACTAAGATTTTTCTAATCGAACAGTAACTGAATTTCATGTGCTAAGAAAACGCGCAGTACCGAAAAATACTCCTATAGAGTTGCGGTAAATGCTACCGCAAAATTCATTTTTGCCGACAACAAAATAACAAAACGTCAGGAAGCATCCAAGGAGTGAAAAGTGAGAAATAATTTAGACGTAGATAGGGAGTAGTGGAGCGGTCGTGAGTAAGGTGTAACAGAGGACTGAGCCAGTGACGGGAAGAGGAAAGGAGGAACGGGGCGAACGCGGCAACCGCCCGGATGCACGCATGGAACAGTGTGTGTGGCAGGCGATAATAACAAGTTATGGTATCGCATATATGCGCACATACATCCAGCAATCATCGGGAGTTGAAATTACATGCTTTAGCTCGTCGTGCCAAACCTGCAATCGAGCTCAAGCCGGCTACTGGCCGTGGAATCGCTACCTGGTCAGAACACCTTACGTATACGGGTAGCTGCCAAAAATTAAGTCCTTCACGTATGTGAGTACCTGTCACGTCAGAGCGCTCAGTGTACGCGAATAGCTAGCAGGTCACAGTGTCCTAAGTATGTGGAGTTTTGCCGGACAGCGTGTCTACTGATAAAAAAATGTCAGGGAGGTGCGCCCGACATAGGCGAGTAAATATTAAATATTCATTGGCGCCCAAAATAAATATTAATTTGCGAGTATGCAAGACCTAGACATGTTTTAAAGCTGAAATTAAAATATCTGGGTTGCACGGAGGCAAAGAATGCACTTCTAAAATTTTAGCTTCTTAGCTTGACTAGTTGGCGAAATCAAAGTGTTAAATCGAAGTGCTTGCCAATGAGCATCGTCCTAGCTGCCAGGTCAAAATACCCTATCTAATAGTAGCTTCCAGGTCAGAAGATCTCTGTGGTGATAACCCCCTGATCAAGGTATTTTATTTCCACTCCGTTTTTATCATAGAAACCCAGCGAAAAACTTGCTTGTACTATAGAAATATCAGAAATGGCAAGACTTCAATGCATATATTCCCTGTTAGTGATGCTGTTAGGATGTTCCTACGCGCCGAGCGCAGCTACTGTAGAGAGACAGAAATTCCACAGAGCATTGTACCGCAGTTGTTCCAAAATGTTACATCCAGTTGGTGAAGGATATTTGGATACCTCCCAGGAATTAAAACTAATGATACTAAAAAAACCCCGCCTGAATTTTTTCCTTTACAGCTAGAGAATTGGTGACATGGAAAACTTGCATTTGTCGGTTTACTCGATGCGCAAAACTACGGAAAAATAAAATGACATTTCCAGTTAATTTGCCAAAAAAATCCAAAAAATTCTTTCGATGGGATTTTAAGGTTGTGTTCCGTGGGGGCTTTGTGTCTTTCTCTATTTCTGGTTGGTGCCATTTTTGAAAGTGTGGAGAAGTGCTTGGATGCACGCCGGCAATAAATAAAGGGAAAACACATCTTTGGTGTTTTTATGTGCATAGTTTTTTTTACGCCCTGAAAGAGAGGCGCCGCTCGAATATGTCCGTTTCTTTTGAAATCGGAGCAGTTGCTCTTTTAGCAGCTATGATTTTTCTGCGGATGCAATATTATAAACTTTCAGGAGATTCCTGGAAAAAAAACCTTAATTTCAAAATAATTTTGCTAGAGAATTACTGACTTAGGAGATTTTACTTCTCATGCTATGTAGTACAGATTATTTTTGCTTTTATGTACGCTTAAGAAAAAATTCACTTGCTCTATCTGCTGCAAACATTTTTACAAAGATGACTTGAACCGATACGGGCAATTCTTTAAATATTCCTATGAGGCTTAGCCTCCTGTGGCACCCCGAATGCGCTTGACCAGTTCAGTGCAATCCATGATAAAATCTTTTGTGTATTGGCACATTCACTAACTGACACTGGTGAAAACCAACGAATGCACTTACCCCTGATATTCACCGCTATTTATTTCTAGTTAATTCTCATCAATTTTCAATTAACTTAATCATTTATGCCTAATTTTGCATATTCCTATTTAGTTTTTATGCGCTTTTACTGTGCAGCGCCATGACGCTGCAATCGCTAGCAGGAACGCATATTGTCGAGAGGCCGTCTGTGTGTGTGTGTGTGTGTGTGTATGACTGTTTGGAAGTGATTGAACTTTGTCACCCATTTTCATATCAGCAACTTGGAAAGCTGGGAGGCTAAAATTTTGGGTATATGTTTCTATCCCGTGTGTCACCCTCCAGTTTTAAGATCATCCTCCACACGCGTCTAGATCCCGTGTGCGGCCTCCCAATAAAATATGTAAATTTTCTCATTGGGAAACGATTTCGCAACCAAGCAAGGTGCAGAGCTGAAACTTTGCAGGGATATTCTTTATGCAAGTGCGAGCTAAAGATTTTAAACTCAGCTGTCGAGCCCCCCGACCATAGCCTAAAGCAGTTCCTCAACTTTAAAATCGTTCGCAACTCGGACCTGAACCGCAATCGCATATGTAAATGAACGTGGATTTTTTTGACAAACGACCGTTCGAGCAATACTTCGAATTTTTAATGAATTGGAAATTTGCATTTTTTCAAAAAAATCGTTCGCATCTCGGACCTGAACCACAATCGTATATGTAAATGAACTTGGATTTTTTGACAAATGACTGCTCGAGCAATACTTTCACTTTTTAGTGAACTGGAAATTTTCATTTTTTCAAAAAATTTGCATTTGTCATTTTTTCACAAAG